GGTCAAAAGTGAAAGTGTTTTGATAATAAAGTAATTGCTATTTGACTGGTTATTATCCTTCTCATCTTTTCCACTGTCAATAATGTGAAACACAGAGATGCCTGCTATATTACGTACTGAAAATACCTCCCAGAATCCTCCCAAACCATAAGGCTATGGCTTCAAAGTCCTCTGTTTAATATCTGGGGTAACACCATGTGTTAAAAAAAAGGATCTGTTCTTTTGTAGATGAACTGGGGTTCAGGTATCTTTCCTTCATTTCAGGAGAGCTTTAAAGAAAAGATTCTGTGTATTTTTCCAGTATATTTCCAGTTGTCAACTAGTTAGATCAGGAGTATGAAATGAAGCCTTCAAAATGTCCTACTGTTTCGTTTAAGACATAAGGGAACCATAGTCTTGTCTTCACAGTGACTGGACTAAGATTAAGGTGCTCAGGCAACATCAATTGTTAGAGAAGTCTCAGCATTTCAGAAATATTCTTCTGGATCCAGATAATATGGTAGGATAAGCTTTTCCTGAGATTTCAGGGCTCAGACCTTCAAAAACGCATTCTAGAAGTTTAACATTTCATTTCAGCAGCAATCTCTGGTTTTACCATTAGCTATTTAATACCATCCCTGAGATACTTGTGCACAGGTACTCTGCTTTAACAAAAGTCCTCTTTGTGGTGAGATAAACTCAGTTCCTGGAGAATATTTAGTCATACCCCGTGCCATAGATTCTTTTAGTTTGTGGCCTGTAGATAAACTTTTCATTTTCCTAGAACTCACAAGCAAGCAAAGGGCAAGAGTGGGCTGGAGTCCAAAATACCTTCACCAGATAAAAGTGGCAAAAGTCGAACTAGTTGGGGTCCTAAGACATTTCCCCAGCAAAACCCCAGTCTACCTTCAAAGATTGGAAAGCCAGGAAAATCCAGCAGGTGAAAGGTCAAGTGGAGTCCTATTTCACCCAGTGCCATGCACAGAAAAAGACACTTTAACCTAGTCACCAAGCAAAGGGTTGAGTCAAGAACTTGTGTTCAACATTGCCCATGGTCAGTTGTATAACCCCTAGGTGGGTCACTTAACCTTTCTGTGTCTCAGTTTCCACATCTTTCAAAGGGAAATAAGAAAGTGGCTTCCTCATAGTATTGCTAGAATAGACAAAGATATAAAATGAAATGATAAACACAAAACACATGAAATATGAAAACAGTAGACAAAGTATTATCATGCAATGAGAAGATGCTCAAAATGTCATTTGGCATCCTCAAAGTTGATACCCTTCACCCTGTCCAATCCCAGCTTTTAAAAGCAAAGCTCTACGGCATTGAAGTCTATGGGGGAGAGAATAGTCTAAAAGTATTATATTTTAGGGCATTATTTTTATCGTAGGAGTATGCAATGAGGGTTGTAGAGTGGATTATATTTGGGGCTAGGCGGTGGGGTTTAGGGAGGTGCAGGGGGGATTGTGTACCAATGAGGGAGTTTTTCTTTTGCTTTTCAAGGAGAGGA